CGTAACGGTATTTCATAAACATTGCCGGTGACACGAATGCGGACGTCTGAAACAATTAAAAATAAAGGATTGAAAGTGTGGGGAGGGAGGACAAAAAAAATAGAAAATAAGAACAAAGTCACCTGGACATCAATTGATTGACTGACAGCAGGAAAACGGAGAGCATACAAGCGCGTAGATGTATCGAATCAGTATTTAAAACGATCCCACCACCGGAAGCACGAATAATTATTAATGGGCAAAATTAGCTGGGAAAAAGACACGCTGACACATAGAGCGAGGAAAAAAGAGATAGAAAGAGAAGACAGAGAACAGTACAGGTCGAAAGTGATAACTATGATACACGTGCCGTCTCTGTGAAATGTGTACAGGGTGCACTAGCAGTCACAAAGGCTGAATACGTGCGACGTCGAAAACAGCAGGCAAACTGAACTTGCAAAACAGGTGCGGGAAAGCTCGCGAGGAAGAAATGGAGTGGGATAATTGGCAATGGACTTGTTATCGGCTCATTGAGGTCTCCATGACCGTAGTAGGCACGCAGTCACCGGTTGTAACTGATTTCGGACCGATCACCATTTTCTCCTCGTCGATTACGATCTGCAGAAAAGAGAGAAGAATTATCAAGCTTGAACGGGGACAACTTCAATGTGATTTTATTTTCATCAAATGATGCTAGAGAACAGCATTCATAAAAACAGCTAACTAGTTTAGTTTCCTCCTTTCGCTACATAAATCCCAATAGGAGATTAGACCTTGCCATCTGGTCTTTTGTTTCATACAAAACTGAAATGATGTGGAACCTTAGGACTGAGAAGACACCACTGGCTACAAATCCGTAACATTGCAAACTACGTACACTTGTAAGGATGAATCGGTGTGATTAGGGAAGAATGAACCCATACATCGATGCTCATTCGTCGCGTCTGTAGTAAGACAATGGGGAAAATATACGTTTGAAACAGAAAAAAATTGTTTTTCGGATTTCACACACACACACATGCTTTGGTCAGCGCGTTTCTAGCGTCCGTTCGGAATCCCTTTGTCCATTTTGTGGAGTTGAAAGGATATGGGGAAGTTAAATACCGCACGATACCTATGTGAAAACGAATGTACCAAGTCAATCCCTACGAAGGCGGGGTGCTACAACCTATATAACATCACAGGACAAAAATTGTCCAAAAGACTGAGAAATAACAAAACCGAACAGCAATATGTGGGGAGATAGAGGAAACACTGTGACAATACTGGAGAACTATTCCCTAAGGCGAAAACAACTCAGGACCGCACGAAGTAGCTAGTCGCATGGGCATTGGTAAACAGTGAGAGTAAACTTCGAGGTTTATTGTTGACAGAAAATTATTTAGTTCTTAGTTTGAATCCGCCATTACGCCGATCCGAAAATAGACAGGCTGAAATCATTGCGAAACTAGTTCAGCTTAAGCTACACTCCATTCATTCTTTTATTTTGTAAGAACTTGCTTATGAGTATCAAGCGAGTATCGGCGTTTGAGGAAATGTTTATTTCTCTGTAGGTCCATTATTTTAACCATCTTATTCATAAAACGCCGATTTCGATCCATTAGACTGTATTGTTTTCACAGTATTTGTTCATGATTAGGACACCAGATGAATTCATCACAGGCGTTTCACCATGGCATATAAACAACCAATCCAGGATTTGCGCTTACAAGACAGCCATGGATCAGCATTATTCCGCTTTCTCATCCCTATTCAACTTTGGGACCAGATGAGACTTCGTATTAGGGAGACAGGTCAATTTTAAAGAAAAATGTCTGATCTATAAGACCCGGATGATGTGGCGATGTGAAATTCTAACTCCGTATGTGGTGGCAAAGAGCAGTATGCGTCTCACGAAATACCACCGCAGGATCAATTTCAATCTAGCCCGCATTTTGTATGGACCGGAGAAAAAAAGAAGCACAGATTTGACGCATTCCGTTTTAACTGGAAAGCGCTGACTGGTCTGAATGCGACTGGATGGACAAAAAAACAGTGACAAGGTTACGAAGACAACATGCGTGTGCCAATGAATGTGCTTGGCATACGCATAGACTCTTTCTCTTTCATGACAGCCAGAGTACGGACTCCAGTCAAAACACGAGAAATCAACATGCCACTGTTGTCCAAACCACAGAACCACGCGGATAAGGTAGAGTTCATTAAATAGAACAACTGCACAAGTAGAAAGCCCGTCTTCATACGCTTACAAACGAGCGCGGAGAGATAAATTCGGCATCGAAAGGAATGGCACAGAATGAACAGGAAAGAACGTACTTCTTCCTTGAGCAAATTGCTCAAGTCTACTCGATATCGATCCAACGACTGGCGCATCGCGGTGTACTTGGCTTCGTGCACACTGGACATCAAACGATGGTAGCGAGTGAGTAGGACAAGACAGATGGTCAGAAATTCACTGCAATGAATGTCGAATAGGGGAGGGCGAGAGAGAAAGAGATGTTCAAAATAAGATGACTGCAGCAAAAGATAAGTTACACTAGTTATATTCGGGTGTATCAGAAGCAAAATTAAGGAGGTGGGTAACCAAAGTTGAGAATAGGCAACAGCATTGTTCATCAACCCAAAACCCCATCCATTCTTTGGTGTAGTTTACTGCTGTGAGTTCGTGATGCCTAACCAAACAGTAAACCTAGTGACTACCGCATCACCTTTACGTTGTTTAGTACAGTGAGGTACGTAAGGAAAACACAATAACAGTTTTACTAAAGTAAAAAGAAAAAAAATGTTCAAACTATTTGTGAAATCGAAATCAGGGTAAATTCTTTCGAGTTTGTACTTAGACACTTCGAGTATGTGAAACAACGGATACATTAGAACATGTGTGAATGCTTTAACATGCGCCAGGTGTTGTGATCATTGTGCACGTTTGGGCAAATAGCTACTTATTAGAAGACCTCACCCATGCATTTGAGCGTATAGATAAGGAGAGTAAGGCAAACATCCACGTTGTGCCTGTACGTTGCATCAGGAGAGTACCGACCAATTACTTTGGAACTGTGAGCTACCAAGGTAACAGGATTACAAAAAGAAAGTTCAATAACCCCGAGAAACGTGTGGCGTATCCACTTCTGATTGTTACATCGAGTCAGGAATGACGTAACACTTTGGAGTATACGTCGGTACAATTGAAGACAACTGAATGAATGTAGTGAAAGGTTCTTGTAAGTTTTATGTAGGAAAGTTCAGTGTGAGCAAGAACGAAAATTCATATGGCAAAAAGCCAAGACAGGAAAGCCTAGTTTGAACACGGAAAAATCTACTCCGTTAATCTACCAACAACATCATGGGTGAAAACGTTTACCGCAGTAAAGCAATTCACTGCAATGTGACGAGCTGTAGAAAAGTTGTCGGGAAAGGTACAAGCAGGCTAATAAACAGATCTATTTTGTTTATAAGATACGAGGAGCCAAGCCAAAGGAGAGGAAGAAAATCGACTGTCAGAAAGTGACAAATGGATGAGGGGAACCGCTTGCCCGAACTCGTTTACTGCAAATCCAGGCTTTCAATGCACTCTCCCTGGTCGAAAACCAAACTAAGGATGACTGAATCTCATTCAAGCGACAGGAAAATACGGATAGTTTATGAGGAATGTGGGAGCCAAAACAGATCACATTTAACTAATTAGGTTTATGATGAAACCGGAAGCTGGCAATTGACAACACAGATAATTTGCAACACGTAAGAGGCAATATCATCTATCCGGTCGAGAGGAGTGCTTCACTGCGAGTGCTGAGATTTAACCAGGGNNNAAAATTGTGAGTAAATCATATTCGAAATTGCGACCAAAAATGTCTCGGTTTCCAGGGAGGCGAAATCACTTGTCTTTCTTACAAAATGCTTTAAAACAGTCTGGACATTTCAACACCGTCCGAGATAGAAGATGCAACGAATAAGCGGACAGATTAAGGAAATACTTAAGATATTTTTGAAGGTAGTCAAAAAGCGTTCCAAAGTCAAGATAGAAAGTGACAGCTGTCTGAATGAAGAAAACCACAAGCATTAGGGAAGAAAAGAAAACTCACAAAAATAAATCTCGTAGTCGGGCCACTTTTTCCCTGGGATAAAGTATTTGATTCTCGGCCTT